TCGACGGGTAAAGCGGAATTTTTTTAAATAAAATTTTAGTCAGAGAACGTTTATGTTCTTAATTATGTCTAAACCTGGCTACGCTATCTCCATATTTTCTGGTAATTAAACACCCAACAAACTTCCATCCATTAACTCAAAATATGATTAAAGCTTTTAAATTCCGTGAGCAAGCCATTTTTAATTTGTTGGAAAAACTAACACTCCTGTTTCACAAGGAGTGAAGAGTGCGGGAGATTTTTTTCATTATTCTACATTTTAAGTACCCAAACAAGCTACATATATAAAAAAACTCGATACTAATAGCTGTTTTGCGAAATTGGAAGTACAGTGTTCTCGGAAGCAAATAACTGTTTTGTGTTTCCACATTATCTACAGGACAACAAACTGGAAAACTTTGAAATAACTCCATGTCAACAAAAGAAACTTTTTGAAATCACTTACGAAGCAATGGAGAAGGATGTACGTAGAATCGTAAATAAGAAAGATGTTGTAGAACTTTACGGTAAAACCGATTGGAACAAACTACTTCCTGCCATTAAGGAAATACTTATTGACTTACGATTTCGTGAAGATTACACGCCAGAAACACGGAAGATAATACAACGGGCAGTCGCTGAAAATGACTTGAAAACATTCACCGCCCTTATGGAAGACAGGAACAATTGGAAGAACGTTCCGAAAGATAGGTTTCAGAGACGTGTTAATTTTCTACTAAACTTTAAAGTGAATCGCGGGCAGTTAACGTTCGACGCAGAAGGACAAGAAGGAGGAAGGTTCCACAGCCGAATGCTTCATGTTCCGACTGACAAGTCTGGTTTAACAATAGGACGGGGATACGACATGAAAGATAAAACTAAAAAACAAATTGAAAAAGATCTGAGAGAAGCAGGGATTTGCAAGGCAAAACTGCTGTCTTGTGCTGCGGGACTTCGGGGCAAAGCTGCCAAAAAGTTTATCAAGGTAATCTTTCTTATATCGAGAAAATATTTCTTGTACCAAAGTAATATTTTTATGTAGCTAGGTAATATCTTGCGGTAAGGCAATATATTTTTTAGGCCGTATCAAAGTAACACATGTCACGTTATGTTTTCGTTAGCTTACGACCTACATATTTGTGGCTTTAGCACTGGACACATTTCCCCAATATTTTTTCGAATTTCAATGAATCTAAAACAACACTCTGAAAAACATTAGCTATTGTTTAAGCCTTTTACTGTTCATATTTTCCTTAAAAAATCAGTCTTTCGCATGCTAAATTAATGCTTTTACCTAATTTGCATATTGCTGACATATGCAAATTAGGCAAAGGCATTAATTAGCATGCAATTATTTAGGAAAAAATGTTAGTTTTTATTAAGCTAAAGCAAATTGTCTGAAACTTTGTACAGTAATTAAACATAATTAAAAACATAAACGTTCTCTGACTAAAATTTTATTTAAAAACGAGCTTTCGACTACCTAACTGTAGTCTTCGACGGGTAAAGCGGAATTTTTTTAAATAAAATTTAAGTCAGAGAACGTTTATGTTCTTAATTATGTCTAAACCTGGCTACGCTATCTCCATATTTTCTAGTAATTAAACACACAACAAACTTCCATCCATTAACTCAAAATATGATTAAAGCTTTTAAATTCCGTGAGCAAGCCATTTTTAATTTGTTGGAAAAGACTAACAGTCCTGTTTCACAAGGAGTGAAGAGTGCGGGAGATTTTTTTCATTATTCTACATTTTAAGTACCCAAAGAAGCTACATATATAAAAAAACTGGACACAAATAGCTGTTTTGCGAAATTGGAATTAGTGAGTGTTCTCTGAAGCAAATAACTGTTTTGTGTTTCCACATTATCTACAGGACAACAAACTGGAAAACTTTGAAATAACTCCAAGTCAACAAAAGAAACTTTTTGAAATCACTTACGAAGCAATGGAGAAGGATGTACGTAGAATCGTAAATAAGAAAGATGTTGTAGAACTTTACGGTAAAACCGATTGGAACAAACTACTTCCTGCCATTAAGGAAATACTTATTGACTTACGATTTCGTGAAGATTACACGCCAGAAACACGGAAGATAATACAACGGGCAGTCGCTGAAAATGACTTGAAAACATTCACCGCCCTTATGGAAGACAGGAACAATTGGAAGAACGTTCCGAAAGATAGGTTTCAGAGACGTGTTAATTTTCTACTAAACTTTAAAGTGAATCGCGGGCAGTTAACGTTCGACGCAGAAGGACAAGAAGGAGGAAGGTTCCACAGCCGAATGCTTCATGTTCCGACTGACAAGTCTGGTTTAACCATAGGACGGGGATACGACATGAAAGATAAAACTAAAAAACAAATTGAAAAAGATCTGACAGAAGCAGGGATTTGCCAGGCAAAAGCAAAACTGCTGTCCTGTGCTGCGGGACTTCAGGGCAAAGCTGCTAGAAAGTTTATCAAGGTAATGTTTGATATACCGAGGAAATATATATTTCCAAGTTGTACTAAGATTATATTTTTATGTGCATGGTATATGTCGTGTGGAGGTAATATATTTTCTATACACGCATAGGAGTGTTATGATATTTAAAACGCGAATGCGCAGCACGAGAATCTTAGGTTTTATACTATATGTCGAATTTTGGTCGCGTCGAATGCAATTAAAACAACAGATAATGATATAACAAACATATTTGCAGGGAGTTGAGTCCGGAATTGGACGCAGCGAGAGCGGCTGCAAGTTTCCCGGACTCACCGAACGAAGCGAGGTGAGTTCGCGAAACTTCCAGCCGCACGTGTGCGTCCAATCCCGGACTCACCGAACCTGCAAGTATGTTTGGTTTTTATCCCATACACTGAGCCATACACATATTTGTAGCTCTTCGCGATATATTCGTCGATGTTTTATCAACATTTTCCCGCCCAAAAAATCACTGGCCTCTTAATACTTCATTATCTACGTCTAGATTACCTATTTTTATTCAGTGTCAATATGTTAGTCAACGAAAAAAGTTTTTTAAAGTTTAGGTTTATCGGCTAAATCTTGTCCGCCATTGTTATTGTTATTGCAACGTAAGCCGTTTCGCGGGTGAGTTCGGCGAAAAGCAGGTGAGCTCGACGACAAGATCACCTGCTCTAAACCAATCAGAAAGCCGCTTTTAACGCAGGTATGAGATAAGATAATAAACCTCATTAAGTTCATTAAGCTTCATTATCTATTGCTTGAATTGCATTCGACGCGACCAAAGATACTTTTGAAGATGAGTTTTATCAGGTATAAAAGCCTCACGGCTTATATTAAGGTTGACATGATTTGCCAATGAACATATGAATATTAATTATGTTTGAAATATTATTTATTGTGTCAAAGTAATATTTTTGCACCAAGGTTCAAAGCAATATTGTTGTGTTAAAGGTGAATAACATGCGGTCGGTACTGCTCTTTGAAGAAGTGTGTTTACATTTTTCTGTTGACGTTCATTGTTTTTATGGGCGGAATTTGTTTTAAATCCGATGATGCATGGTTCTAACTAACAGCTAACGAGCGTTCCTCTCTTCTCTGCTTCTGAGACTCGCCAAAATAAACAGAAGTGGAACATGCCGCCCAGTAATTGCGCCCGAGTTCCGCTGGGAAAGGAAACATTTATTATTATTATTTAAACATATACTTATCCACGGTAACCTGTCAGACATATGTTTTTCAAAAGCACTAGCAAAGTCTGAAGTCCATCAATCGTGGGTGCATGGCTATGGTTCACCGTTCATGGTTGGCCATCCTCACTGGTGGTCATCCTGTCATGAGTAGCGAGCACTGATTGGTCAAATTTGCATTATAACGACTGCATAACGACACCGAAATATTAAAGTAAACAAACATTTCTTGCAAATAAATTTCCTTTTTTGCAAGATTTGGTAAAAGTGTTTTTGTTTTAATATTACCTAGGACAACAAAATGGAAAACTTTGAAATAACTCCACGTCAACAAAAGAAACTCTTTGAAATCACTTACAAATCAATGGAGAAGGATGTACGGAGAATCGTGAACAAGAAAGATGTTGTAGAACGTTACGGTAAAACCGATTGGAACAACCTACATCCTGCCATTAAGGAAGTACTTATTGACTTACAATTTATTGGAGATTACACGCCACCAACACGCCAGATAATACAACAGGCAGTCGCTGGTAATGACTTGAAAACATTCACCGCCCTTATGGGAGACAGGATGAATTGGAAGAACGTTCGGAAAGATAGGTTTGAGAGACGTGTTAAATATCTACTACTTCAGTAGTAATCTCAGTAGTAATCAAAGTCGTGCATGCATGATTAAAAAAAAAACTGTGTAGCTTTATATAGAACAGCAACAGGAATATTTTTTAGGTTTGTGGTTATTCATCACGCAGTAACCAGTTCCGATTTGGGACAAGTAAAACTTTGCCAGAATCTGTTTTCAGGCACTTGGCAGAAAATTCATGAAGTTTTCGTAATTAGATTCCGTAGCTTTTCCAGCTGTTTTGGAACACGTCGTGGCTGTGCATCGATCGCCTCGACAAAACTGGACAGTGATGTAATTAAGTTTATCGTTTTCACAATTGTTATTTAGTTAGTTATACGTAGTTTTGGTTGTATTAGTTGTTTTTGAAACCCATGCATGTAGACAGTTTAGGTATTCAATAAAACTTCACATTTACAACAACCGTTTCTAGTAACGTTTAAATACGGTTTAATGTATATAGAGACAAACCAAAGCAGATTTGGGTTTACTAAGATAGAACCTTCAAAAGCAACAGGTCACGTTACTTGGTCAGGATGAAAAAAAAACAGTGACATGCAATCCAGACATCATTTGCGAGGGAGTACCAATATTTGTACTGGAGGTTTGGGAACGAAAAGAAAATGGTTGGGTTTAAAAATCACATTTCATAAGAGTGGGCAAATTATTTTCCGCCCCCAACAGCTGGGAAATTTGTTGCCCATGCGCCAGATTTCCATTGAAACTTGAAGATTTCCCCGAAGAAATAACGAGTGTTCGTGGTTGTTGTATATTTTTGAATGCCTGCTTAATCTTTATAATTTTTTGCTTAAGACAAAGACAAAGTAAAATGTACTCTATATTTCCAGTGTATAGAATATCTCGTTTGAATAGCAATAGAATATTATAATCCTGACACAAACAAGAAAGGCATATAGTAAAACGCGGACTGGACAGGTAAAACGCGGACTGGACTCTGTTAATAAAAGGCGGACTGGACTCTATTAGTAAAACGGGGACTGGACTCTATTAGTAAAACGCGGACTGGACTCAATTAGAAAAACGTGGACTGGACTCTATTAGTAAAACGGGGACTGGACTCCATTAGTAAAAGGCGGACTGGACTCTATTAGTAAAACGAGGACTGGACTCTATTAGTAAACCGCGGACTTGGACCACAATGTCGCGCCAAAATTTGATCAAAATGGAAACCTCCAGTGTTGCCAAAGTTTGAGTGGAAACTTTTCGTTGCGGTACGTTTGGGTCCGTATACCTAGCAAAATACAAAGGAAAGACCAGAAAAGTGGTTGCCAAAAACAGTAATGTCGAGTCCATTGACTCGAAATCCTGTTTAATGAAAGAAGCCTCACTGTTGAACAGTACAAAACGTCACAGGAACATAATCTGGTTCCCTGAATTTTCAATAATGATGGAGTATTCTTGCTTCGATTTTCGCCCGTTTGGAGTTGAAAAAAGTCTTTACACTCTAGAAGATTTTGTCCATTTCGTAGAGGAGTTTGACTTTGCCTCGTTCGCAAACTTCATGCCAACATCTGCCAAATATATTGTCGAAGGTTTGAAATATTTGCACAGCAAGAATATCGTTATCATGCAGTAAATATTACGAATTAAGATAATCACTTTGCACTACTTCATTTTCATTCAGTGCATACTTTTTCAAGTATATGATGTATCACATAGTTTATGCAAAAGAATGCAAGCTAAAAAATGCAAGGTGAGAAAAGTTCGGGGAAGATAAAACGGTGATTTCATTGACATAAAAATGACTTGGTTTGTAAGTCGAGAGACCGACTTAAGGTGGCTCCCTGTGATTTAGATTTAATTCTTTGAAGAGACGTTTCTTGTTAGAGGGATGACAAAAAGGGAAAAGCCCTGACAAAAAGGAAAGCAAAGATTGACAAAAAGGGAAAAGCCCTGGGAACGAGGTTGCCAATTTGGTCAAATTTTGGCGGGAAATTGTGGACCTTTTTCGTCTGCTACCGAAGCTCTTAAAACTCTGGGATGAAGGGATCTTTCTCAGCGAAGACATTATCGTAGGTGCCTTTATACTTAGATTGTATGTAATCTCATTTGACCTGACCTTATACCTCATCACTACCTAAACTCACCTAACAAACTAGAGTATTAAATATTAATCTCATATCACCTCACCTGGTGACATCAGACGCTCGACTTAACTACACGCGTAAAAACGCTGAGCCCACTGTTTAACAGGATTGAACAATATTGCTGAGCCTGAATTGGGTGCAACAATATTATTCAATATTGTTAACAATTGTGAATATTGTGGGAACCAAAACATTGTTCAATCCTGTTTTCATCTATATTGCAACGACCTGATCGTTTTTAGCCGTGTAGATTTCATATTTAACCCTCACTAGCGGACGTCATCTGACCAAATCTCTTCTAACCGCTGTAACCTGACCTCAACTTGTCTGGCCTTCTCTCTACTTACAGTGCTGCCCAGAACTCACCACACCTTGCTACTCCCTCACCTGACCTCATTTCACCGCAATGGATTACTTCTGACCCAATATCACCATGCACCTGTCCTGATCTTACCCTAAATGACTAGATCTCACCCTGCCTGATATTAGCTGAAAGGCTCAATCCAGTACGGAGACATGACAAGGAAGACAAGAAACAGCCTTAAATTTTACAATTTTAAAATTATGAAGAACTACTCTCATTGAGAACATCGACTACAACGACGACGGCTATTGTTAATATCATGCATGGGACATCTGCTACTTTCAACTGGGTCCTAGAACGTTTGTCAATCCACTAACCCCCTCAATCCTGAAAGTGAAACTGTATTACTTTTCATGCGATGGATAGCAGACAACAGGTTCGTTTCTGCAATCTTTTTGGTTCAACCAGTTTGTTTGCCGTCCCCGTCGCGTTCCCGTCCTACATGCTTAAGGTCGCTATATTGTCTCCATTTACCTCACATAAGCTCACCTGACCAGCTAGATCTGAACTTAGCACACTTTCTTAACCATGTCTTACTTTGACGCAGGCTAAACCTTACCCGATCTTACCTGACGTCAATGGAAATAACTTCATTTCACCTGAAGATGTTAAGCTGTACTATTAAGCTGTAAATGTTATGTACAATTAGTTAGATTGTGACGTAGGTTGACAACTGACAAAATAACAAGTCTTCGATATATGCTTTCACCTCTGGATACAGAGGTCGGGGCACAGCGACATAGTTCTTCTGAACAGGTGCGCTATCGCTGAGTTTGATATCCATTTGAATCTCTGTGATGCACCCGATATCATCATCTATGGGAAACACATCAGCCTTTTCGATAAGCAGCTGCGTCGCAGCTTTTCTTTCCTCACTGTTCAAATCTCCCAAATCCACATCGTCCAAATGTTTTGCCCACTTCGCTGTTTGGTGGTCATCATCGCTGTTAGAGATTTTGGCTTCTTCATTTCATTTGGAAGGCGACTTTTCATCGTTTTCCGTCTTTAATTTCACCTCGACTGGAGTGACTGATTGAATAAGTTCTAGGCGCCCTGGCACCGTTCTGTTCCGTAATACTATGTCATGCTTGGTCGTATTCTTCACTTCTACTTCCACTCGGCTAGATTTCCCTGCCATTGCTGTCAATAATGTGTCCGAAACGTGGAGACCAGACGGCCACTGACCGTTCTCATCAGCTTCGAACAAAACTGGTGTGGGTTTACCTAGGGGACCGGTATTCACTCTGCAGCTCAAGAGGTGAAAGCATATATCGAAGACTTGTTATTTTGTCAGTTGTCAACCTACGTCACAACCTAACTAATTGTACATAACGTTTGCAGCTTAATAGTACAGCTTAACAAAGACACGGCGCCTGACCCTACCTCGTCTAACCTCACTTCAGATGAGCTCAGCAGACCACATCTCACCTAACCTGTCCTACTCTGACGTCACCTAATTTAACTCAACCACGCCTCACTTGACCTAAGTTTATAACTTCCCTAATTATACCTCTGAGTAACATAATTTAAAGTGCTTTTGCTTTATATAATGTGGCTGTGTGATACTCGCTTAGGTTTATTCGTTGCAGGCAATCAGATATGACATCACAGCTGTTTACGCCAGCAGCCTGGTTTAACTAAATGAATGCAAACCCAGAGATTCTAAATCTAGTTCCTTCGATATCAGTGTATTCTAAGATATGATATTTCTGTGTGTTGGTGTTATGTAGCTATTCAGGTGAATATGATTTTTGTGATGTTATTCTGAGTGTACATCAACACCGGGCAAGCTGAAAAGTTTCCATGGCCACGATGGGAATCGAACCCGCGACCTTTGGGAAACTAGTCCAATGCTCTGCCAACTGAGCTACGCGGTCAAGTCGGTTCGAATTGATGACATTTCGGAACTGAGTCTAGTTCCTTCGATATCAGTGTTTCTAAGATATGACATTTGTGTGTGTTGGTGCATGTTATGTAGCTACTCAGGTGAATATGATGTTTGTGAGTATCCCACAAGGTCGGGGGTTCGATCCCAAAGGTCGCGGAATCGATTCCCACCGTGGCCAACGAAACTTTTCAGCTTGCCCGATGTGGATGCAAAAATTTAGCGCCAAAACAACAAATTTTAAATGGGAAATGCTAAGAAGCACTTCTTACAGATGTCTGGACAACATTTGACTGCAATTTGAACACATTTTGTCTATACCTTTGTATAAAGATGTGTTTCTTAAAATTTTCAATTTTATTTCAATTCTAAATATGTACAAATTTCAATCAAATTTTGTCCATATTTTTGTAAGAAGTGCTTTTTAGCGTTTTCGATTTAAAATTTGTTGTTTTGGGGCTAAATTTTTGCTTTAGTAGTTCAATTTTTCCTTCGTGATATATTCTGAATGCGCAATGAGCTAACTTGGGGGCCTAAAGATCGGAATTTTAATTAAATTATCTATCGTTTGAAACAAAAAATGTAAACAAAACACGGGCATGAGCAGAGCGGACTTGATAGCCTCTTTAAATAAGTCTATCAAAATATAAATCTGTCAAAA